GTCTGTTAATTGGGGAAACGACAGTCTCTTTAACAAATGGTGCTGGCATAACTGGATATCCATCTGCAAAAAACTGAAACAAGACCCATACCTCACACCAGGCACAAAAACTAACTCGAAATGGATCAAAGACTTAAATATAAAATCGAAAACGATAAAGATCACGGAAGAAAAACTAGGGACAACGCTAGAAGCCCTAATACATGGCATGAACAGAATACGAACCATAAGTAACAATGCACAAGTGCCAGAAGAGAGACTAGGTAACTGGGAGCTCCTAAAAATCAAACACTTATGCTCATCAAAAGACTTCACCAAAAGAGTCAAAAGATAACCTACAGACTGGGAAAAAATTTTGGGTACAACAAGTCCGATCAGCTTCTAATGTCTAAAATCTATAAGATACTGCAATACTTCAACAACAAAAAGACATATAACCCAATTAAAAAATGGGCAAAGAATACGAACAGGTACTTTGCCAAAGAAGATATTCAGGAGGCTAACAGACACATGAAGAAATGCTCAGGATCACTAGCCATTAGAGAAATGAAAATCAAACCTCAATGAGATGCCATCTCACCCGAACAAGGCTAGCATTAATCCAAAAAACACAAAACAATAAATGCTGGAGAGGTTGTGGAGAGACTGGAACACTTACACACTGTTGGTGGGAACGTAAAATGATACAACAACTTTGGAAATCGATTTGGCACTTCCTTAAAAAGCTAGAAATAGAAGTACCATATGATCCAGCTATCCTGCTCCTTGGAATATGTCCTAGAGAAATAAGAGCCATCACACAAATAGATATATGCACACTCATGTTCATTGCATCACTGTTTACAATTGCAAAAAGATGGAAACAAGCTAGGTGCCCATCAACGGACGAATGGATAAACAAATTATGGTATATCCACACAATGGAATACTAAGCAATGATAAAGCACAACAATGAAGCCACGAAACATCTTACAGCATGGAGGAATCCAGAGGTCATTACACTGAGTGAATTTAGTCAGTTACAGAAGGACAAATATTGTATAAGACCACTATTATAAGAACTCAAGAAAAGGTTTAAACACAGAAAACATTCTTTGATGGTTACAAGTGTGGGGAGGGAGGGTGAGGGTTATTCACTAACTAGGTAGTAGACAAGTACTATCTTAGGTGAAGTGAAGGACAGCACACACTACAGGGGAAGTCAGCACAACTGAAAACAAGCAAACACTTTGAGGGACAGAGTAGCAGGGGTAGGGATCTAGGGACCGTGCTTTCAGGGGACATCTAGGTCAACTGGCATAACAAAGCTTATTAAGAAAATGTTCTGCATTCTACTTCGGTGAGTGGCGTCTGGGGTCTTAAAAGCTTGCAAGTGGCCATCTTAGATGCATCAATTGGCCCCAACCACCTGTAGTAAAGAAGACTGAAGAACACAAAAGACACAAAGAAAGTATTAGCCCAAGAGGCAAAAAGGGCCACGTAAACCAGAGACTCCATCAGCCTGAGACCAGAAGAGCTAGATGGTACCCAGCTACCACCAATGACCGCCCTGACAGGGAACACAACAGAGAGTTCCGGATGGAGCAGGAGAAAGGTGGGGTGCAGAACTCAAATGCTAGCACGAAGACCAGACTTAATTGTTTGACTGAGACTGGAGGAAGCCCGGAAAGCATGGCCCTTGGATTCTCTTATCAGCCTAGAACTAAGACAATTTCCGAGGCCAACTCTTCAGACAGGGATTGGACTGGACTGTGGGACATAAAGTGATACTCATGAAGAGTGTGCCTCTTAGCTAAAGTAGATACAAGAGACTAAACGGGCAGCTTCTGTCTGGAGGTGAGGTGGGAAGGCAGAGAGGGTTAGGAGCTGGTTGAATGGACGTGGGGTATCGGGTGGAAAGGAGGAGTGTGCTGTCACAGTAAGGGGAGAGCAGTTAGGGTCACATAACAATGTATGTATAAATTTTTGTGTGGGAGGCTAACTTGAAATGTAAATTTCATTTAAACTACAACAATTAAAAAAGGGTCTTAAATGCTTTGAAAGGTTTGAATCATTTCTGTAATCTCTTAATGAGTAGGGATCTTGTCCTTTTCTTATTTTATATCTTCCATAACAAGTGCAGTACTCTGTCTAAAGAAGTTACTTAATAAATTCTTAATGAATACACAAATGTCCCAAAACTTACCTTATCTGCCAATAATAATCTTGTAAAGATTTTTTGGTCAGTTGATTTATTTCTGAATGTTCATTTGCTAGTTCGGTAGCATCTGTCAGTGCTTTAAGCTGTAACAAAGAAAGAGCTCTTTTGATCCATTTCATCCACCTATTACATTACTCCAATTCACCCATAGGTATAGATGTATATAGCAGAAGCACAAGTGTATAACTTTTTTGGGTGTATTACTGCCTTGTCTTCCAAAATATATTTCATATAAGCACCTTGGGGCAGAACTTAGAAGAGCCCTCAATATCTGTCTAAGCAATAAACATCCTACCTTGAAAATACCAGGCAATTAGTTCATCAGTTGCTATAAAGAAATGCCAATAGATCAAGATGGCAGACTGAGCACAGGCATCTGTCTTCTCTTCCACTCAATATCCCATAGCTATCCATCTGTTTTTACCTGTATTCACAGCCATCATTATGTCTATATACCGTATCTACACCTATGTTGTTGTTGTTAGTTGTTGTCAAGTTGATTCCAACTCATGGAAACCCCACGTGTATGCAGAGTAGAAGTGCCCCATAGGGTTTTCAAGGCTGTGACCTTTCAGAAGCAGATTTCCAGACCTGTCTTCTGAGGCACCTCTGGGTGGGTTCAAACTGCCAACCTTTTTATCTAATAGTCGAATGCTTACCTGTTTGCGTCACCCAGGGACTCCTTTCTACACCTATATACTAAAATGTACCAAAGAAGATCTAAAACAGAGTAATATCCATAGAGAAATAAAACTGGAGGAAACCATACCCTAAACATGTGCAGGAGAAATCTGTTGTACAGGTAGAGGCAATTTGTGGGAACTCCAAATCTACAGTCAATGGATGTAAACTTTTAGTGGAAGACATAAGAAAAGACCAAACAAATGGGAAAGCATCCTACATGCCTGGATGAGGAAATATGGTTTTTATAAAGGTAAAAAATCTTTCAAATTAGCATAAATTTAATGTAATCACAATCAAAATAATACAGTTTTTTAAATAGGAATTGACAAGCTAATTCTAAGATTCATGTGGTAGATCAAATCTATAAGCGTAGTCAAAAACATTCTAGAAAAGCACAATAATGGGGGGTACTTGTCTTACTACCTATCATGATTTAATAATTAAACATCGAAAATAAAACAGGGCAGGACTAGACCAATACGTCAGTGGGACAGAGGGTCCTTAAATAAACCAGTGTAAATACATTAATCTGATTTAGGATAAAGGCAGAATTTTAAATCAGTAGGGAAAATATGGTGATTGGTTATTGTTGTTGTTGGGTGCCGTAGAGTCAGTTCTGACTCATAGCGACCCTACGTACAACAGAACAAAACACTACCCAGTCCTGCGCCATGCCCACAATCGTTCTGCTTGAGCCCATTGTTGCAGCCACTGTGTCAATCCTTCTCGTTGAGGGTCTTGCTCTTTTTCGCTGACCATCTACTTTACTAAGCGTGATGTCCTTTCTCCAGGGACTGATCCCTCCTGACTACACATCCAAAGTATGTAAGATGATGTAGTCTCGCCATCCTTGCTTCTAAGGAGCATTCTCATTCTATTTCTTCCAAGAAAGATTTGTTCGTTCCTTTGGTAGTCCATGGTATATTCAATATTCTTGCCAACACCACAATTCAAAGGCATCAATTCTTCTTCGGTCTTGCTTATTCATTGTCCAGCTTTCGCATGCATATGACGCAATTGAAAATATCATGGCTTGGGTCAGGCGAACCTTAGTCTCCAAGGTGACATCTTTGTTTTTCAACACTTTAAAGAGGTCTTTTGCAGCAGATTTGCCCAACGCAATGCATCTTTTGATTTCTTGACTGCTGCTTCCATGGGTGTTAATTGTGGATCCAAGTAAAACGAAATCCTTGACAACTTCAATATTTTCTCAGTTTATCATGATGTTGCTTATTGGTCCAGTTGTGAGGATTTTTGTTTTCTTTATGTTGAGTTGTAATCCATACTGAAGTCTGTGGTCTTCGATCTTCATCAGTAAGTGCTTCAAGTCCTCTTCAGTTTCAGCAAGCAAAGTTGTCTCATCTGCATAATGCAGGTTGTTAATGAGCCTTCCTCTTATCCTGATGCCCTGTTCTTCTTCTGGACTTACATCCAGGAAAAAAAAAATACACACACACATTAAACTTTTATAGATCAATTAGTTAAAGATAAACAAAGCAACGGAAAAATAGACAAATAATATCAAATACTAGTAAGGACTCTGGGAAGTGGGCTCTGTCCTATACTGCCAGTTAAAAGTCAAATGGGCAAAACCATTTTGAAAAGGCATTTCACTACTCTGTAACAAAATTTGAACTGCATGTGCCATTACCCTTGACTAAGCAATTTTACTACTAGGAATCTATCCTATAGAAGTACTCACATGTGTGCTCAAATATATATGCACAAGGATGTTCATTGCTTTCTTGTTACTAATCATTAAAAAACTGGAAGTAACCTAAGTGTCATGAATGGGAAGTAATTACATTAAAATACAATTATATTCCCCCACACTTCTGTCAGTTTGTCCTACTCCGGTGGCTTGGGTGTTGCTGTGATGCTGGAAGTTATGCCACCAGTACTCAAATACCAGCAGGGAAAGCTATGGCGGATAGGTTTCAGCTGAGCTTCTAGACTAAGACTAGGAAGAAGGACCTGGTGTCTACTTCTGAAAGGAATTAGCCAGTGAAAACCTTATGAATAACAGAGAAGCATTGTCTGACATAGCGCTGGAAGATGAGCCCCTCAGGTTGGGAGGCACTTGAAAGACAACTGAGGAAGAGCTGCCTCCTCAAAGTAGAGTCGACCTTTATGATGCAAATGGACTCAAGCTTTCAGGACCTTCATTTGCTGATGTGGCATGACTCAAAATGTGAAGAAACAGATGTAAACATCCATTAATAATCGGAACATGAAATGTACAAAATATGAATCAAGGAAAATTGGAAATCGCCAAAAATGAGATGGAATGCATAAGCGTAAGTATCTTAGGCATTAGTGAGCTGAAATGGACTGGTATTGGCCATTCCAAATCAATCATATGGATTGCTATCCCGGCAATAACAACTTGAAGAGGAATGCTGTTGCATTCATCGTCAAAAAGAACATGTCGAGATCTATCCTGAAGTACAACGCTATCAGTGATAGGATAATACCATATGCCTACAAGGAAGACCAGTTAATACAACTATTATTCAAATTTACACACCAACCACTAAGGCCAAAGATGAAGAAATTGAAGATTTTTACCAACTTTTACAGTCCGAAGTTGATTGAACATGTAATCAGGATGCACTGATAATTACTGGTGATTGGAATGCAAAAGTTGGAAACAAAGAAGAAGGATTGGTCGTTGGAAAATATGGGCTTGGTGATAGAAACGACGCTGGAGATCACATGATAGAATATTGCAAGACCAACAACTTCTTCATTGCAAATGCTTTTTTTGTGACAACATAAACTGCGACTATACACTTGGACCTACCGGAGGGAATACACAGCAATCAAATAGACTACATATGTGGAAAGAGACAATGGAAAAGCTCAATATTATCAGTCAGAACAAGCTTGGGGCTGACTGTGGAACAGACCGTCTGCTCATAGGCAAGTTCAAGCTGAAGCTGAAGAAAACTACAAGTCCACAAGAGCCAAAGTATGACCTTTAGTATATCCCACCTGAATTTAGAGACCGTCTCAAGAACAGATTTGATGCTGCAAGGACAGTTCAACATTAGAAAATCAATCAATGTAATCCACCACATAAATAAAAGGAAAGGATAGAATCACATAATCACCTCAATCAACGCAGAAAAGGTATTTGAAAAAGTCCAACACCCGTTCCTGATAAAAATTATCAATAAAATAGGTACAGAAGGGAAAATTTCTCAACATAATAAAGGGCATCTATGCAAAACCAATGGCCAGCATCATTCAAAATGGAGAGAGGCTGAAAACATCCCTCTTGAGAACAGGAAAAAGACAAGGATGCCCTTTATCACCACTCCTATTTAACACTGTGCTGGAAGTCCTAGCTACAGCAATAAGGCAAGAAAAAGAAATACAGGACATCCAAATTGGTAATGAATAAGTTAAACTGTCCCTATTTGCAGATGATATGATACTATACAGAGAAAACCCAAAAGACTCCACAAGAAAACTACCGGAACTAATAGAAACATTCAGCAGAGTAGCAGGGTACAAGATAAACATACAAAAATCAGTTGGACTCCTCTACACCAATAAAGAGAACTATGAAAAGGAAATCAGGAAAACAATGCCATTTATAATAGCCCCTAAAAAAAATAAAATACTTAGGAATAAATCTAACCAGAGATGTAAAAGACCTATACAAAGAAAACTACAAAACACTACTGCAAGATACCAAAAGATATCTACATAAATGGAAAAACATACCATGCTCATGGATAGGTAGATTCAACATTGTGAAAATGACAATTTTACCCAAAGCAATTTACAAATACAATGCTATCCTGATCCAAATACCAACAGCATTCTTTAAATAGATGGAAAAACTAATCATTAACTTTAAATGGAAAGGGAAGAGACCCTGGGTAAGTACAGAACTATTGAAATAGAAGAGTAAAGTAGGAGGACTTGCACTACCTGACCTCAGAGCCTACTATACAGCTACAGTAGTCAAAATAGCCTAGTACTGGTACAATGACAGATACATTGACCAATGGAACAGAGTTGAGAACCTAGATGTAAATCCATCCACCTACGGTCACCTGATCTTCGACAAGGGTCCAAAGTCCATCAAATTGGGAAAAGACAGTCCTTTTAACAAATGGTGCTGGCAAAACTGGATGTCCATCTGCAAAAAAAATGAAACAGGACCCATACTCACTCCATATACAAAAAGTAATTCAAAATGGATCAAAGACCTAAATATAAAGCCAAAAACCATACAGTTCATAGAAGAAAAAACAGGATCAATGCTAGATCCCCTAATACCCGGCATTAACAGGATACAAACCATAACTAACAACATGCAAACTCTGGAAGATAAGCTAGATAGCTGGGACCTTCTTCAGAAACAATCTTTGATAGTTACGAGGGA